GAAACGCACGGTCCTAGGACTGACCCCTGCGGGACCCCGCTGGTCACAGGTGCCCACTCTGACACCTCGCCACGTACCATGACTCGCTGCTGTCTTCTTGACAATTATTCCCTGATATATTTTAGTGCCTTGCCTGTTATCCCTGCTTTGTTCTCCAGTTTTTGCACTAATCTCTTGTGTGGAACTGTGTCAAACGCCTTCTTGCAGTCCAAGAAAATGCAATCCACCCACCTCTCTCTCTCTTGTCTTACTGCTGTCACCATGTCATAGAACTCCAGTAGGTTTGTGACACAGGATTTCCCGTCCCTGAAACCATGTTGGCTGCTGTTGATGAGATCATTCCTTTCTAGGTGTTCCACTACTCTTTTGATAATCTTCTCCATGACTTTGCATAGTATACATGTTAGTGACACTAGTCTGTAGTTTAGAGCTTCATGTCTGTCTCCTTTTTTAAAGATTGGGACTACATTTACTGTCTTCCATGCATCAGGCAATCTCCCTGTTTCGATAGATGTATTGAATATTGTTGTTAGGGGTACACATAGCGCCTCTGCTCCCTCTCTCAGGACCCATGGAGAGATATTATCCGGCCCCATTGCCTCTTCACTTCTTCATTGGTTGTGTGTACTGTGTCCAGCACTTGGGGGTGTGCCCCACGACTCTGTCTTTCTGGAGCCCCTTCTGTCTCCTCTCTGAACTCATCTTTAAATCTCTTGTTGAGTTCCTCACTTACTTCATGGTCATTTCTTGTTGTCTCTCCTCCTTCCTTCCTTAGCCTGATTACCTGGTCCTTGACTGTTGTTTTCCTCCTGTTGTGGCTGTATAACAGTTTTGGGACAGATTTGGCTTTCGCTGCTATGTCGTTTTCATATTGTCGTTGGGCCTCCCTTCTTATCTGTGCATATTCATTTCTGGCTCTGCGACTGCTCTCCTTATTCTCCTGGGTCCTTTGCCTTCTATATTTCTTGCATTCCCTAGCACACTTGGTTTTTGCCTCCCTGCACCTTTGGGTGAACCATGGGCTCATCCTTGCTTTTTCATTATTCCTTTACTTTTTGGGTATAAACCCCCTCCTCACCTCCTTGCACATTGTTGCTACATATTCCATCATCTCATTAACTGACCCTTTCCCCGCCAATTCCTGTCCCACTGAACCCCGTTCAGAAAGTTTCTCATTCCTGTGTAGTTCCCTTTCTTGTAGTTTGGCTTCATTCGTCCTGGCCTTCCTGCTTCCCTTTCTACTTGTAGCTCTACTGTGTATTCGAAGCATAAAACCACATGATCGCTGGCCCCAAGGGGTTTTTCATATGTGATGTTTTCAATATCTGCACTACTCAAGGTGAATACTAGGTCCAGTCTTGCTGGTTCATCCTCTCATCTCTCTCTTGTAGTGTCCCATACGTTTTGGTGCATGAAGTTTTCCAGTACCACCTCCATCATCTTAGCCCTCCATGTGTCTTGGCCCCTATATGGCTCCAAGTTCTCCCAATCGATCTCCTTGTGGTTGAAGTCGCCCATGATCAGGAGCTTTGCCCTGCTTGCATGAGCTCTTGTGGCCACTGCACCCAGTGTGTCAACCATCGCTCTATTGCTCTCGTCATACTCTTGCCTTGGCCTCCTGCTGTTCTGTGGTGGGTTATACATCACTACAATTACCACCTTGGGACCTCCAGAGTGAGGTGTTCCCGCTATGTAATCGCTTTCTTCTCCGCTGTCTCCTCTCTCCAGCTCATCAAAATTCCATTGGTTTTTGATCATCAGTGCCACTCCTCCCCCACCTGTTACCTCTGTCTTTCCTCAGGATCTGGTATCCCGTTGGAAATATGGCATCTGTTATCATACCTGCTATCTTGGTTTCTGTGAGAGCTATGATGTCCGGTGATGCCTCTTTGACTCTTTCATGCCACTCCTCCCACTTATTTGTTATTCCATCAGCGTTTGTGTACCATACCTTCAGTTTACTTTCCAACACTATGGGTTGGGGGGCCTGTGAGGGTGGGAGACCTGTTAGCATACTGTGGGATTCTATAGCTGGGTGTTGGGTGGAAGCTGTGAGTGTAGATTGTAGTTTGTGTTGGGATGGTGTTCTGAGGATAGTTCTTTGAGTGCTTGCCCTTGCTGCTCTGTTCTGCTCTGATTGACCTCTGCTGGTTCCAACCTTGTCTCCTTTCGTAGCTCCTTTCGCTTTTTTGTCTTCTCCCTCAGCTGCTGTCGTTCTGTTTGTGTTCTGTCTCTGTCTAGGAACACCCTCATGTACTTTTCCGAGTACTTCAACCGTGGTTTCTCTTGGAGGATCCTGCTCCATACTGTTTCTGTCCTGAGAATCAGCTTGATCAGTCGTTTTCTCCCCTTGAAGTAACCCCCTATTCTCTGAAAATTTACAATCTCATCCATGTCTTCTTCACCTATTTCCTTGATGATATTCTCAATCTCCTTTCTTTCTGCCTGCCATCTTTCAGTGTGTGTCCTTCCCTCTCTCTCCTGAAACCCGTGGATAAACACTGATTTAGCCCTTTCCTCCTCCCATTGCCTCTCCCTCTGTAACTCTGGTTCCTGTCTGTACATGGTCATTTTCTCCCTTGTTTTTTTGCAGTGGCTCTTGGTAGCATTGTTGTGCCTCTGCATTTGACCTAACCCCCTCTCTGCCTGCACCCAGCTGCTCTCCCCGTTCACTCCTTGGCCCTTCTTGGCAGGTTGATATGGCCTTAGCATAATTCATATCTCCCTCCTTCCTGTTCGGCCTCTCATCTTCATATGCTGTGTCTTCTCTGGTCAGTGCCCATGTAACTTGCTTCAGCCTGTTTACCTCATCTTCTAGGACCCTTATCCTGGTTATTGCAGTTTTTGGCTTGTGCCTCCCAGTTCTTCTCCTTCTCCAACCTCTCTTCTAATTTCACAGTAAGCTCTGTCTCCAATTTTTCAGAAAGCTCTCCTAATTTTCTCTCCAATTCTTGTTCCATCCTTTTCCACTGCTCCTGCATCCACTCCTCCCCACAATATTTTTTTTTTAGGAGAAAAGAGAGAGAAAGAGAGAGAAGGGAAAGGAAGGAGAGAGGGAGAGAGTGAGAATGGAAAAGGGAGGAGAGAGGGGGAGAGTGAGAAGGAAAAAGGGAGGGGAGAGAGAGAGAGAGAGAGAGAGAGAGAGAGGAGAGAGGGGAGAGAGGGGCAAAGAGAGGGGAGAGAGAGGTGGAGAGACAGGGAGGAAGGGGGGAGAGAGGGGCAAAGAGAGGGGAGAGAGAGGTGGAGAGACAGGGAGGAAAGGGGGGAGAGAGGGGGAGATGGAAGACATAGGATAGGGGGAGATAGAGGGGAGAGAGATGGGAAATGGGAGAGAGGAAGAGATAGTGAGAGGGGAGAGATGTTAGAGGGGAGAGATGTTAGAGGGGGAGAGATGTTAGAGGGGGGAGGTGTTAGAGGGAAGAGATGTTATAGGGGAGAGATGGGAGAATGGAGAGTTGGGAGAGGGAAGAGAGAGATAGGCAAAGGGAGAGATAGGTAGAGAGAGAGATAGGTAGTGAGAGATATAGGTAGAGAGAGATAGGTAGCGAGAGGTATAGGTAGAGAGGTATAGGTAGAGAGAGGTATAGGTAGAGAGAGGTATAGATAGAGGTAGTGAGAGAGATAGGTATAGAGGGAGAGAGATAGGTAGAGATAGGTAGAGTAGAGAGAGAAACAGGTACTGAGAGATAGGTAGAGAGAGATGGCTAAAGAGAGGTAGAGAGACAGGTATTGAGAGAGAAAGAGAGAGAGAGAAAGAGAGGGATGGATTTCAGGTCAGTTAACAGGAAGGTATTAAATCCTGTGTATTTGTGTGTGTGCGTGTGTATGTGTGTACGTGTGCCCCCACTTCTAAGTATTCATACTGCTAATAAATATCAGTAGTAATACCAGTATTTCTAAAACTACCAACAGTGATTCTAGCACTTATCACTTCTACTTATAAAACACAGAAAGTAATTAGGTTGTAAAATTTAGCTTGTCTCAGCTTCCAGGAGTGTCTGACGTCACATCTCGCTAGGCTGCCCCTCGCTAGGCTTCCCCTCGCTAGGCTTCCCCTCGCTAGGCTGCCCCTCGCTAGGCTGCCCCTCGCTAGGCTGCCCCTCGCTAGGCTGCCCCTCACTAGGCTGCCCCTCGCTAGGCTGCCCCTCGCTAGGCACCCACTTGCTAGTCAACACTATCTTCATCTTATCTATGCTATTTCTGCTCTAATTCTGGTAATAACTTGCAGGAGTGAGTGACCAGTATCTACAGTGACGCAAGGCCAGGATTCGGAACCCCACAACAACCCCAACAGGTGAGTGATACTTGCGCTGGCAGCGGTGCGATGACAAGTTGCCATATGCTGATTACGTAGTCGTCGTACATACGCCTTCTATCACTATTTTGAAAACTCTTCACCCAATGTTTATAACCGTATATGCTCATACATCTCACGCCCCTCAAGTGATTTCACTTATGATAGAATACGCTCCTTTCGCTTTTTTGTCTTCTCCCTCAGCTGCTGTCGTTCTGTTTGTGTTGTCTCTGTCTAGGAACACCCTCATGTACTTTTCCGAGTACTTCAACCGTGGTTTCTCTTGGAGGATCCTACTCCATACTGTTTCTGTCCTGAGAATCAGCTTGATCAGTCGTTTTCTCCCCTTGAAGTAACCCCCTATTCTCTGAAAAATTACAATCTCATCCATGTCTTCTTCACCTATTTCCTTGATGATATTCTCAATCTCCTTTCTTTCTGCCTGCCATCTTTCAGTGTGTGTCCTTTCCTCTCTCTCCTGAAACCCGTGGATAAACATTGATTTAGCCCTTTCCTCCTCCCATTGCCTCTCCCTCTGTAACTCTGGTTCCTGTCTGTACATGGTCATTTTCTCCCTTGTTTTTTTGCAGTGGCTCTTGGTAGCATTGTTGTGCCTCTGCATTTGACCTAACCCCCTCTCTGCCTGCACCCAGCTGCTCTCCCCGTTCACTCCTTGGCCCTTCTTGGCAGGTTGATATGGCCTTAGCATAATTCATATCTCCCTCCTTCCTGTTCGGCCTCTCATCTTCATATGCTGTGTCTTCTCTGGTCAGTGCCCATGTAACTTGCTTCAGCCTCTTTACCTCATCTTCTAGGACCCTTATCCTGGTTATTGCAGTTTTGGCTTGTGCCTCCCAGTTCTTCTCCTTCTCCAACCTCTCTTCTAATTTCACAGTAAGCTCTCTCTCCATTTTTTCAGAAAGCTCTCCTAATTTTCTCTCCAACTCTTGTTGCATCCTTTTCCACTGCTCCTCCATCCACTCCTCCCTACCAGAACCATTCTCATCTGATCCCTGGTTCCTGCGAGTCCCCACCATATTTTTTTTAGGAGAAAAGAGAGAGAAAGAGAGAGAAGGGAAAGGAAGGAGAGAGGGAGAGAGTGAGAAGGGAAAAGGGAGGAGAGAGGGGAGAGTGAGAAGGGAAAAGGGAGGGGAGAGAGAGAGAGAGAGAGAGAGAGAGAGAGAGAGAGAGAGAGAGAGAGAGAGAGAGAGAGAGAGAGAGAGGGGAGAGAGGGGCAAAGAGAGAGGAGAGAGAGGTGGAGAGACAGGGAAGAAGGGGGGAGAGAGAGGGAGATGGAAGAGATAGGATAGGGGGAGATAGAGGGGAGAGAGATGGGAAATGGGAGAGGTGTTACACTTTATTTTGTTTAATGTCAAAACTGTTGTGACGTCACTGCTTCAGCGGGCCTACTGCCCCCTTTCCCCTTGTTATAAAATTTTATTTTTTCCTTTCTATTTTTGCTTTTTTAAATTTTACTCTCACGGCATGGGCCCCACATTTAAATTGTTTTCCAATCTTTTGGAAATTCTTAAACACCCGTTTCCCACTCACTTAAATCTTCTTTATATTTGAATCTGTTTTGCAACAGAACCTTTCCTGCCACAAAAAACATTTTGGGAAACTTTGAAATTTTTAATGATTTCAGCCTTCCTCCGATTTTTTTTTAACTAAAAACTTTAGTTACAACTCTTTAGGATTGTTCACTGCGTTGTCATTTCCATTAATTATGTTAGCAGTTATGCCCCCCCCCCCAAAAAACACTAAAGTTCTCAGAGCCTTTGTGTGTGGTGTTTTTTTGGTGGTGTATGTTTTTTGTGTGTGTGTGTGTGTGGGCTTTAATTTTGGTTGTTTTTTGTGTGTGAGTGTGTATGCTTGTTTGCATTCATCGTGTGTGTGGTACTCAACTAGTTGAAACCACCTATTTTAAAGGGGTGCAGGGGTCGAGTCCAATTTCCTGGCCCCCCCTTTTCATGGTCGCTACAGGTAAACTCTCCCCCAACCATGGTTTATCGTCCTTTGTTTTAAAGGCTGTGTATGGTTAAATCCCTCCCTAGGTGTTTTGTGTGTTTTGTGTGTGTGTGGGTGTGTGTTATCCCCTAGTTGTATCACCTAGTTGAGGTTGGGGGGTCGAGTCCGAGCCCCTGGCCCGCCTCTTCACTGATCCCCGTTTGTGTGTGTGTGTGGGGGTTTTTGTGTGTTGTGTTTTGTGTGACAGTGTGACAGTGTGTGTTTTGTGTTTTTTTAAACAGTGTGTTTTTGTGTGTGACAGTACTCCCCTATTTTGGTACTCCCTAGTTGGGGTTTTGCGGGGGTCGAGTCCGGCTCCGGGCCCCGCCTCTTCACTGATCGTACAAAGGTCACTACCCCCTGAGCCGGAGCTTTATCTTTCCCTTTGCTTAAAGCTATGTAGGGACCCCGGCCTCCACTACAGGGGGTTTCCCCAAACTATTCCATTACTGATTTAATCTGGGGGCTGAAAAAAAATATTTCCCAAAATTCCCTGGGGTTTTCATCTTTTGTCTTCAGTTTTCCAAAACTGTGCCCCCTTGTTACTGTGTCCAATTTCGGAAATCCTGTCTTTGTCCACCTTGTAAATTTCCCTCCAGTTTTTGTTTTTTCGTTATCATGCCCCCCTTTTCTCTCCTGTCCTCCAGTGTCGTCAGGTTGATTTTCCCCTTTAAAATTCCTTTGTTGGACATTTCCCTTGCTCGGGGGTAGTTTGTTGCAAACCTTTTCCAAATTTCTCTAGTTTTTTACGTGCTTGGCTAGGGGTTTTTGGGGTTCCAAACTGGTGTGCATAATCCAATATGGGCCTAACATACACCCGGGGTACAGGGTTTCCCGAATGATTCCCTTTTAAAATGTCGGGAATTTCTGTTTGAGGTTTGCAAAGGGGCCCATATGCTGCACAGTTTTTGGTTGATGTGCGCTTCAGGGATGTGCCTGGTGTTATACTTACCCCAAGAAACTTTTTCCTTGGGGTGGGGGGTTTGTAGTCTCTGACCCCCTTGAATGTACTCCGTTGCGGCCTTTTTTGCCCTTCCCCAAATTTTTCATGGGCTTTGAAATTGGTGGGATTGAACTCCAGGGGCCAATTTCTGGACCCGGTCTGCAGCCCTGTCCAGATTTCCCCTTTTTAGTTTGCCCGGTCTTCGATCGGGTGTATTCTTCTCATCAACTTCCGTCATCTGCAAACAGGGACCACTCTGAGTCTATTCCTTCCGTCATGTCGTTCACAAATACCAGAAACAGCACGGTCCTAGGACTGACCCCTGCGGGAACCCGCTGGTCACAGGTGCCCACTCTGACACCTCGCCACGTACCATGACTCGTGCTGCTTCCTGACAAGTATTCCTGATCCATTGTAGTGCCTTCCTGTTATCCTGCTGGTCCTCCAGTTTTTGCACCAATACTCTTGTGTGGAACTGTGTCAAACGCCTTCTTGCAGTCCAAGAAATATGCAATCCACCCACCCCTCTCTCTTTTGTCTTACTTTCTGTCACCATGTCATAGAAAATCCAGGGAGGTTTGTGACACAGGATTTCCGTCCCTGAACCATGTTGGCTGCGTTGATGAGTTCATTCTTTCCCAGGTGTTCCACCACTCTTCCTGATAATTTCTCCATGATTTTGCATACTATACATGTAGTGACATGGTCTGTTTTTAAATGCTTCATGTCTGTCCCCTTTCTTAAAGTTGGACTACATTTGTGTCTTCCACCCTCAGGAATCTCCTGTTTGTAGATGTATTAAATTTGTTGTTAGGGGTAACTAGCGCCTCTGCTCCCTTTAAATCCCCCATGGGGAGATGTTATCTGGCCCCTTGCCTTTGGGGTTTTCAGCCCCTCAGAGCCTCTTCATTCTTCCTCGGTTGTGTGCACTGTTCCAGCACTTGGTGGTGTCCCCCAATCCCCGTCTTTTGGATCCCTTCTTTTCCTTGTGAACCTTTTTGAATTCTTGTTGAGTTCTTAAAATACTTCAGGTCATTTCTTGTTGTCTTCCCCCTTCCCTTTCCCTTTACCCTGATTCCCTGGTCCTTGACTGTTGTTTTCCTCCTGATGTGGCTTTAAAACAGTTTCGGGTCAGATTGGCTTTCGCGCTATGTCATTTTCATATTGTCTTTGGGCCTCCTTCTTATCTGGATATTGTTTTGGTCTACGACTGTTCTCCTTATTCTCCGGGGTCCTTTGCCTTTATAATTTCCTTTCCCTAGCACACTTGGTTTTTCCCTCCCCTGCCCCCTTGGGAAAACCTGGGCTCACCCTGGCTTTTTCATTAATCCTGTTCCCCTTGGGTACAAACTCTCCCAGCCTCCTTGCTTTTGTTGCTACTATTCCATCATCTCATTAACTGGCTTCCCTGCCAGTTCTTGTCCCACTGAACCCGTTCAGGGTTCCTCTTTTCCTGTGTAGTCCCTTTTTGTAGTTTGGCTTCATTCGCCCGGGCCTTCCTGCTTCTCCCTCCACTTGTAGCTCTACGTGTTTCAAAAGCTTAAAACCACATGGTCACTGGCCCCAAGGGGTCTTTATATGTGATGTCCTCGATATCTGCACTACTGAAGGTGAATACTAAGTCCGGCTTGTGGTTCATCCTCTCCTTCTCTTTGTGTGTCCCTTAAGTGTTGGTACATAAGTTCTCCAGTACCACCTCCATCATCTTAGCCCCCCATGTATTTGGCCCCCATTTTGGGCCCAAGTTTCCCAATCGATCTCCTTGTGGTTAAATCACCCATGATCAGGAGTTTCCCCTGCATGTGAGTTTCTGGCCACCTAGCAGTGTGTCAACCATCGCTCTATTGCTCTGTGTATCGCCTTGGCCCCCGCTGTTCTGGGTGGGTTATACATCACTGTTTCCCCTTGGGCCCCGAGTAAAGTGTTCCCACTATGTAATACTTTCTTCTCCGCTATTCCTCTCCCCGCTCATAAAATTCCAGCGATTTTTGATCGCAACCCCACTCCTCCCCCCCTGTTCCCTCTGTCTTTCCTCAGGATTTGGATCCCT